GGCGCGGGTGCTGCGGGGAAGTCGGAGAGGCAGGCAGGTGAGCAGGCGGAAGATGAGGAGGCGGCGGCGGCGCTGGAGGGGGTGGCTGTGGAGCGAGTCTACTACGCAGGTGAGCGCGCTGCCGCATTTTCTCCATGCAGGGGGGCGCGCCGACACAGGGGCCTTGAGAGCTTGCTTATGCAGACCGGTTGGTGTCAGCGCTGGGGGTGGTGTCGGCATCGCCGTATGGGACCGCGAGGGGGCTGGCCTGCCAGCTGGTCGGCAGGGCGGGGCCCGCTGACACCTGCAAGCCCAATTGATGTGCAACCCACACCCAGCCGCCGTGCGCCATGCGGGGCAGGGCGACAAAACCCTCCCCCCCAAACCCTCTGCGCCTTCCCTCTGATTTCTGCGCGCGTCACACCCGCAGTCGTGCAGGGCGCGCTCCCTCCCCGCTCCGGGGGCCGCCTCCGCAGCCGCATCACGGTCGAGGGCGTGCTCAAGCCGGCCGTGACTAAGTACGTTGTCGTCGGCTCTGGCGGCGGCCTCAGCCTGCTGCGGCTGGCGCCCCAGACGGGGCGCAAGCATCAGCTGCGGGTGCACTGTGCGGAGCAGCTGGGGACCCCCATACTCGGGGATTACAGGTGGGGGGGGGAGGGCATTGGGGTTGAGAGTTCAGGTTTTGCTGTTTGTATTGCTGGGTCTTGGAGGCATCATGGCGATGGCGGCCGAGCGCTGGCACTGCTCTGATGTGGCGCGAGACTGCATCGTGCGCTGACGTGGGGCGGGCGGGGCGCACGACGAGGGCGGCCGACGAGGGCGGGCGGGGGCGCGGCATTCGCCGGGGATGGCGGCAGGCTCTTGATGGCGGGCGCTGGTGCGGAGCGTGAGGCGCGAGCGGCCGACACTGCCGCCCGCCCGCCTGTGGTGGCGCATGCGTGCCCTTATGCCCTCTCCCTCTCTCTCTCTCTCTCTCTCTCTCTCTCTCTCTCTCTCTCTCTCTCTCTCTCTCTTTCTCTCTCTCTCTCTCTCTGTGTCACACACGCACAGACACACACACACACACACGAGCATGCCCCGCTCGCCCCCTGTCGCCTGCAGATATGGCTATCGCGACAGCCAGGACGCCGCCAACACCGCCGCCGCGCAACCGCACCCCAGCAGCCCCCGCGGCCACCCGCAGCAGCAGCCTGCATCAGCGGCCGGCGGCCGCGCAGGCGGCGCATCGCGACGGCGCGACGACGACAGCGAGGACGACGACGAAGGGAGGGCGGCCGCGGAGGCGGAGGCGGGCTTTACGCCGCTGTTTCTGCACGCGCACTCTTTGGTGCTGAGACGGCCGGACAGGCGGCCGGTCAAGGTGGTCGCGCCGCTGCCGCGCCACATGCGCGCCCTGGTCGCGTCGAGGGGGTGGAAGCTACAAAAGGAGGACACCGTGGGCGGCGGCGGCGGCGGCGGCGGCGCCGCGGCGGGGCCTGCGGCTGCGGTCGCGATGGGCCTGGGTTTGGGGGCTGCGCGCGCGGCGCAGCGGCGGGCGGCGGCGGCGCCTCTGACGAAGCGGGCGTTGGGGCAGTGGGCGGCGGGGGCGGGCGGCGGAAGCGGTGCCAAGGGCGCTGCCGCCAAGGAGGCGCGAGGCTGAAGTGCCCTGCACTGGCCGTCGGCCGCCCTGCCCTGCTCTGGCCTGTAATGCTGTCACGAACCACTGAAGACGACTTACAACAAGTTGCGCAGCTGTGCAGCAGAATGTTGGCTGTGCAGCAGAATGTTGCAGATCCTGGCTCTAAATCCAAGGGTAGGCCGCTGCACACAACAGATCTGCAAATGCACACAAATCTGCACGCCATGACAGCCTCCTTCACGAGGAGGGTTTCCACACACATAAAGAGGTTCACACGCATCACAGTTGTATAGAGGGCGCTGACATGACCTGACAGATGGACTCACATCACACAAAGCGAAGCACCGCGTGCCAGAACCCAAAATTGCATCCCCTGTAGCCGCCTGCCCACCAGCCAGCTGCAGCACCAAGCCTGAGCCCAACATCCCGGCCCGCGGTCGAGCCTGAAGCAAGGCCCATCTGGGCAGTGAATCAACCCCACTGGCAGGAGGCGGCCGCCTCCCCTGAGGCGTCGTCAGATCTTGTCAGATCAGAAGGGCAGCTCAGGGCAGCCCGTGGGGTCGATCTTGCCGGTGGAGGCGACCGCTGCCTTGAGGTCCCGGGTGTAAGAGGCCGGGAAAGACTCAAAGCCCAGCCCTGAAGCAAGGCGCGTCAAGAGAAGGGGGGGCGGGGGGGGGCAGGACACAGGGTCAGGGGTGCGCGAATGCCAGCGCGACGCGCCTCCCCCGCCCGCCCCGGCTTGGGGTGCTCTGACCATGGTACTGGCACCACTCCTGCCACCCGCTCAGGCAAGCCACCATCAGTGCCGCGATCACCACCCCAGAGGGGTGGCGCCCATCGAGCCGCTTCTCCGTTTGCATCCTCGCCTCCGCCCCTCCAGACCGCCACGCGACCCTCAGCACACCCGGCTCACGCCCATCGCCCCCCCATTGAACCC